CACCAGGGCCTCCTGGTTGGTAGGTCTGAGCCACACCAGCCAGCCAGGCAGGAGTTTGCCTTTTGCATATGGAGGCAGAGCAGCTTTCTGCATTTTTTTCTGCAGGAAACTGGCAGGTGGCTTTTGATTCTGGTGGCAAGGGCGCGGATGAGGCAGCCTTGTCTCTCTAGGATTTTGCTTCCTGTCCTGTGAAGTCAGTTCAGTGGGACCCCTGAGACAGACAGACAGACAGACAGACAGACCTGGCCAGGCGTGAGGGGGGTCCCCCAGGGCCTGAAGGACAGGCTGGGAGAGGACGGGAGGAAAAGCCTCGCCCTGTTGGAGGGAATGGGCACGTTTGAGGCCAGAGTTTGAACCAGTTTGGAGCCGCCGCCTTCGGGTTGAGGCCTCCCCGTGTTGGGGCGGCTGGTGGTGACGCCTGCCTCCCACAATTAGCCTGCTGGCTGCAGTTAAATGAGCAGGAGGCGTGGGCTGCCTTAGTCACGCCTTTCTCTTCATCCCCATTTTACAGAAGAGGAAGTAGAGGCTCAGAGGTTGGAAAGCTCGCCCGCGGGTACACAGCGGGAAGAAGGGGACACCGGGACGTTCCTGTGAAAACAGGGGGGTGGGGGGGTAGGACAAGAGGGGCTGTGCTTCGGGCTTTGTGGGAGTGAACGTCTTGGTCCAGGGTCACTTTGTATGCACTTGGGGAGCTCCTGCTACCCCTCCTCAAACCCTTCTGCCCCACCCCCTCCCTAACCGGCCTGCCCATTGGCTGGTCTCTACCCCTGGGTCTAGGGCAGCTGAGGCCTGTGGAGGGTAGGAGGGAGGAAGGTGGTTGGCAGCCGGAGGGAAGCTGGAGATGGCCGTGAATGTGCCCTGGGAGGCCACAGCCCTCTGTTTGGGAGTCCAGGGCCCCAGTTCAACTTTCCTGCCCTGTGCTCCCACCCCGGGCTCTTCAGGGCTCAGGGCCCTTTTGGTCTGGCTGTTCCCATCCCCAGACACAGGCCAGTGGACTGGAAAGATGGCCAAGCACATGGTTGGGATCTGAGCTCCTCTGTGGCCGAGTTGATTGGGTCTGTCCCTCCAGCCTCGGCTCCTACTTCTGTAAAGCTGAGGGCAACTGAAAGGACATCCGATAAGAGCTGCCATAATAACCGTTACTGTTCTCCTTTACCCATAGCACACAGCCCCAAGACTGCCCTCGACCACCTTCAGCCAAGCTATGTATGACAGAGGCGCCCCCGGCCTCCTGTCTCCAGCGCCGCCTCTTGCCTCCTCGGTCCTGATGCTGCTCATGAGCTGCCTGTGGCTGGTGGGGGCCGGTCCCAGCCTGGCCCTGGCCCCAGAGCTGCTGCTGGACCCCTGGCAGGGTGAGGGCTGGCTGCCTGGGCCTCGGAGGGGGCAGGAGACAGGCTGTAGGGCCCAAGACGACTTGGTGGGAGCGGCACGCCCCCGGGAGGGCAGCCTTGGACGGAGCACGCCCAGCTCACCCACAGCCAAGGAGGGCAGCAGAGCCAGCAGGGGGTGGGAGCCTGTGAGTAGGAATTCTTTTCAGAAGTTTCCTGTGACTGACGTCTCTCTCCTGAAATAAGAACTAAGGCTTTCCCCCAAGCAGGAGGATGGGAGTTTGAGTGACCCCAGCTGAGTGCGAAGTGCAGCCGAGTGCCCGGCTCCCAGTAGTAACACAGCCCCATTTACAGTTGAAGAATCTAAGTGATGCCCACGGGTTAAGTGACTCATCAGGGCTGATTGCTCTAGAGAAGCCTGAGGGGGGGGTCTGGCTTGTTCTGTTCAGTGCCGCGGGGCCGCGGCCATTGTGTTTGGAAGCCGTTGGTTCCCTCCACGCGTGACTGCTGGCAGCGGGCCAATGTTGGCTCCTGGGGAGGCGAGGCTGGCTTAGGGGTGGCCCTGGCAGAGGGCAATTCCCAGCCTGGCACACCTGGGACAGCCTTGGGGGTGGGGGCCACTAACCTGGCACATAAGCCCCTTCTCTCTCCCAGCACACCGGCTGCTGACCCATGCTCTGGGTCACACGGCCCTACCCAGCCTGCTCCTGAGTCTGCTGCTCCTGCCCGTGCTGGGCTGGCGGCAGGAGTACCACCTGGGCACGCTGCGGTTCCTGCATGCCTCCACCCTACTCGCCCTGGCTGCTGGGCTAATGGCGGTGCTGCTGGCAGGCCTCGGGGTGTCCGCTGCAGCTGGTGGCTGTGGGTACATGCCCGTCCACCTGGCCATGCTATCAGGGCAGGGGTACTACTCTAGAGGGCTCCATGGGGCAGTGCCACCATGGCTGTTGCCATGGTTGCTGCTTGCCCTGACGCCACTGCTCACCTCTGAGCCACCCTTCCTGCAGCTCTTCTGCGGCCTCCTGGCTGGCCTGGCCTGTATCCTTTGCCCGGACCCTGGGCCTGTGTAGATGTGTGGGTGGTGACTGGGCTCCCAGGGTATGTGGGAACTGGCACAAGTGGGTCAGGCCTAACAATGCCAGAAAGCCGGGCACACATTCCAGGAGCATCTCCGAGTCCTCTAGCCAGGCTCCGGGCTGTGGCCAGCCGGAGGTGCCAACTACACTTCACTGGGGAACTGAGGAGGGCTGAGGGGGCCCAAGGAGGCCCCTAACCTGGACCTTTCCAGTGGAGGTGGCATCGAAGCTGAGACACACAGGATGAGGGGTTCGGGTAAAGAGAAGTGAAAAAGGAGACGGGGCAAAGGCCAGGGTGAGAGTGAGCTGGGCCCTCTGGGCTTTAAACACAGGCTTTTGCTTCAAGATACTTAGTGCCTGTTGGGAAAACAGTGCAGTCGGAGAGAGGAGTGGGCACAGGCGGCCTCCTATAGTTGTTTGGGATTGGGGACGCGAGCTGCCGAGGCCTCGCTGAATCCTGGTTTGGGGAGCACGTTGGCCTGGCCGAGGGCGATAGTGGGTTGTGTCCATGGGTCCAGGCTCACGCCTTGAGTCAGAGCCCTGAGCAGGTAGTGAGGGCTCTGGGCCCGGAGGGGGCAGCAGTGGCTGAAACGGGATGAGACAGGTCTTTGGGGTGAGGCTCAGCCAGCTCCACCTCTTACTGGCTGAGTAGCCTCAGGCAGCCCCCTTTTCCTCCCTGCACTTCCACTGCTGACTGGGTGGCAACATCCCAGGCAGGGCCACAGTGAGGAGACAAGAGGCAGTGCCCATCGTGCCCTTGGCACAGGGTCTGGCATGCAGCTGGGCTCCCTCCTGGCTGGCTGTGGTTTTCCTTGACCAGCCGCCCTGCCTGGGCAGACAGATGCAGCCGGGGCCTTCCAGTGGCTGGAGCCCTCTGAGCAGAGGCTGCAGGCGCTGCAGGGCTTCCTGTGCAGGGTCCTGGGGTGCTGGCCACTCCGGCTCCTTCCCGCCCCAGGCAGTGTGGCTGAGCTGCCCGTCACCCTTCCTGGAGTGAGGTGAGGGGGATGCCCAGGCGCCCGGCCCTGGTGGCGGCAGCGGCTGGCAGTCAAGCCCTCTCCTGTTTCTGCCCTTCCAGGCTTCCTACCCCTGGACCTCCGTACGCGGCCTCGTCCAGTCTCTGGTCTCACAGCGAAGGCTCAGGCCCACTCCCACCAGGCCTGGGGCCTGTGCAGCCGAACTGGGAGGGCTCCTCAGAGGCTGGCCTGCCCTGGCCTGGGCCCAGCTTTCCTCCCGGCTCCCCGCTGTGGGCAGCCCTCGATGAGCAGATGCTGCAGGAGGGGATCCAGGCCTCGCTCCTTGAGGGGCCAGCCCAGGTTCCCAGGAGCCCGCTCTGGCTGCCCAAGTCCTCCGTTTCCTCTCTACGGTAGGGCGGGGGGGCGGGGGGGGTCCCCTGGTGTGGGGGCTGGAGGTGGCCCTGACACTCTCCCTGTCCCCTCCGTTGCACAGGCTGCAGCAGCTGGAGCGCATGGGCTTCCCCGTGGAGCAGGCCGTGGTGGCACTAGCAGCCACCGGTCGTGTGGAGGGTGCGGTGTCACTGCTGGTCAGCGGGGAGGTGGGCGCTGAGGCCCTGGTGACTCAGGGGAGGAGTGGGCTCGCCCACCCTGAGGGTCCTGGGCCCCCCTAGCACAGGCCGGCCCTCAGGCGACAGGAGTCCTTGCCCATGGTTGGTTACACGGAGTTCCAGCCCCAAGTACCAAGTCACGTGGGTGCAGGGGAGGCCCCTCAGCGCCTGCACTGTGTAGAATAAAAACCGGTTCTTTTCAACCTGGACTCCTCGGGGACAGCAGTTGTACCGACTCTTCTGTGCTGGCATCGGGGTGAATGAATGAACGTGAACGAACAAACAGCCAGTTGCAGGAGAGCAGCTCCCTGATGTCCAGATGCAGCGTTGCCGTCTCTGCACCACACAGCCTCTTCCTCCAGGGAGCTCTGTCCTCCACCTCGGTTTTGCTGGCTGGACCCCTGCTGTGGAGCATTCTTAATCACCCGTTTCCCAGCTAATTTCTACCCAACCGTGGTCTCAGCCTACACAGAGTCCTCCAGGAAGCCCTCCCTGATTACCCGGGAATACCATCCTTCACTGTCCCCAGCCCCCAGGGTACCTGCTGGACAGGCCCAATTCTGTGGTTCTCCTAGGCCCAGCCCAGAGCAGGCTGGGAGGCTGGGGGCTGCGCTCTGCTGGGCCCCTTGGGCAGGAAGCGAAGGGTGGTGGTGCTGTGGGGAGAAGCTTCCTCAGCTTTGAAGCAGCAGCTCCTCCCTCCTGGCCCCCTTGGGCCTTGGCCCTTCCCAGGGAGGGGAGGCGCAGACAGAGCTAAGAGGGCAGGGGGTTGGGCTGGGGGAGGGGTAAGGCAGAGGGGCGCCTGGGAAGCTGGACTGAGGGGTGGTGCAGGGGCTACACCTGGAGCAGTCGGCACTGCGTACCTGGAGACTGACCGGCCCTGCTGGGGGTCACCAGCTGGGGCCCAGGAACAGACTGGGAAGTCTGAGGGCCGCCATTGCTTTCACTTCCTCCGTGGTGCAAACAGGCTCAGAAGCTGCTGGGTACCCAGGCTAGAAGCTGCCCTCAGGCTTGGCAGCTCCTTGCTCCCCAGGCCTCTCAGACGCCACAGCCATTGGACACCTGGCTGGCGGGTAGGGTGGCCTGTGCGCTGTTCTGCTCACCTCCCCCTTGCCAGGTGATGGCCAGGGGAGCTTCAAACCTGCTTTGCAGGTGGGCAGTGAAGGCCGCAGAAGAGAAACGAGGCCCCTGGCCTTGCCTGCTGCCCCCCATAAAGCACACACTGAGGCCAGGCTGGTGGGGAACAGGCCGGGGCCTTTATTGGCTGGTAGCACCTATTTCCTGTGTCGGTCACAGGCTGTGGGACAGGTGGCTCCTCCCTTTCCATGTCCCTGGCCCCTTTCCCCACCACTAGGGACATAGGAGTAGCTTAGGGCTCTGGGGGCAGAACTGAGTGGAGGAGTCCACAGCATCCTGTCAGCTCCGGCAGCCTGACCTCAGGGTTGGAAACCCAGCACCAGAAACCAGAGAACCAGAGAAGAGGTTTGATGGGGAGGAAGGGAGGCGAGTCTGCCTTCCAAGCCCCTGCATGTGCTCAGGGCCAGGCAGAGCTTCAGCTCCCACAGTGCCTGCAGGCCCGATGCCTGGGCAGCTGATGGGAAGACAAACCACGAACCTGAACCTGCCACCCGCTCCCTGCAGGCCTGCATCACCCCATTTCACAGAGCAAGGCCCCACCTCCCCCCTGGGCCACCTCTCCTCAGACCCCAGCCTCATACGTGGCAGCCATGCCTGGGGTGCCAGGACCTAGCCCTGCTTCCCCCAAAGGCCTAGGTGGCAGAGGGACCCTGAGGACGTTAATAAATATGGATGGGCGGTCCCCAGAGGCGGCTGGCCTGGTCCACCCGAGGGGCCACCGCCACCCTCAGCCTCTCTTGTTGCGGCTCCTGGGGGCCACGATCCGGTAGTTGGCTGTGTGTCCTCCCCTCTTGCCCCGAAGGAGGTTGGGGGTGCCCACGCCGGCAGGGCCTGCCCCTGACCCCTCTGGTTCTGCCGGAGGGAAGGAGAGAGGCAGGGTTAGTGAGGTCTGTGTAGGGCACCCACCTCCCCTGGGCCCTCTGGGGGGTGGGAGACTGGGCACCCAGACAGGTGTACTCTGCCCTGGCATCCAGGAGGCAGAGCTGTAGGAAAAAGGGGGTCTGCAAACTGGTTAGTGTCCCCCACCTCAAGGAGTTATCAGCCCCCAACCCAACGAGGGCACGCGGGCCTCTGGTTTTCTGTCCAGTGGGGATAAATGGGCCCACCGTGTTCCTGAAAGGCTTGGTCTGTAGCGAGTGCGCCACAGAAATGGTGTTTTTTCTTTTCTACATTTTGGGGTGAAGGTATGCTCTGAGTCATCCCCATTTCACAGCTGGGTAAACTAAGGCCGAAGGACAGACTCACTTTTCCTCTCTCTGAGTAGGCCGCTTTTGGCGGGGGAGGGTTTAGGAAGGCCAGGCTCTGCCACTGACCTACTCTGTGGCTCTGGGCAAACTGGGCCTCTGTCGGGGCCTCATTGGTCTCGTCTCTCAAACCAGCGGGACAGTTCCAGTTGTGCTCCGAGCCCTGGCCAGCTCCTACAATTACTGAAGTCAGTTCCAATCAGGCTATGGTGAGATATGCCCCCGCCTGGAAAGGAGCCAGACCCCAAGAATAATTGGCATTCTTGCCACCTAAAAACCTGCTCATCCTTCAAAACCCAGAGCATGGACTACCTCCTGTAGGAAGCCTTCTGTGACCATCGTTCAGGCCCTCCCAAAGCTAACCGAGCAGGCCAGGCCTTTCGGGAGGACGGCTGTTTTTCTAGGGGGAGTGCGACGCTCAGGGAAAAGCCCAGGATGGAGGACTTGACTCGCCTCCCAACCCGGTTCACAGGAGAGAGACAGCCTGTGGCAGCACCAGCGTCGCCCGGAGGCATAACCGTTAAGTCCCTGGCGCTGTGCCCAGCCTCCCATGCACCTCTGGGCTGCGATCTGGGGACTCGGGCAAATAAACATGTCATAGTCAAGGGACGTTTCACACCCTAATCGGGGAGGACAGGAGGAGGGAAGCAGCGCTCCAATGTCAGCCAAGGCCAAGTCCTGTCCCACCACGTCCCGTTATGTGGCCTTGGGCCAGTCACAGACCTTTGAGCCTCCTCTGGAACTCGGGGTCGCACTCCTGTTGTCACACCCTTAATGGCCTGAGTGCAAAGTGGCTTTCACAGTACGAGCTGGATTACTTGGTCATTGGGACGGCTGAGCTTGTGACCATGAATTAAATGATTAAATTCAGGGCCTTGGCTTCCTCTGGAACCCCCTCAGTGCCTGGTGGAGCAGGGGTGTCTGAACCTTTGCCGATGGAGCCCAAAGAGCCAGGGCGTTAGAGGACCGACCTAGGGCGGACCCCTGACCTTGCCACTGCTGCCCCTTCGGCCTGAAGGAGACACATGAGCCCTCGGAACCATCTTCATCTGTGAAATGGGCCTGGTGTCTACCGCCCACCTCGCAAGCTTGGTGTGAGGACTGGAGAGGATTGTAAATCCTCCAGCCCAGGGGTTACTATTGTTATTCTTGATTGTATCCTAAACGTGAGTCCCAGCTGTGCAGGATGGGCCAACGGGGATGGTTTCATCGCCTCCTCCTGTTTCCCTCCTCCCACAACACCCCTCCCAGGCCCACAACCAGGGCAGGCTCGTGGGATCTCTGCTCTAGGCTCGTGGCCACAAAGCGTGGCCATGGGCCTTCCTATGTGACCAGCAATTCCTCCCTGAGCTGCTGGAGACACGGCTGGCTGAGGGAGGGCTGCTGGAGACAGAGCTGGCTGAGGGAGGGCGGGGGATAGATCTCAGGCCACAATGAGTCCCTTCTGGCTCCTGCCTGAGGAGGTGAGGGGACCTGAGAAGGTTCTGAGAGCCTGGGATTCGGTCGTAGGTCCCTCCTCTGGGAGAGGAAGGAGGTCAGTTATGTTCCTAGGAGTCAGAAGAGCCATGTGGTCTGGTAAGAGGAGCTCTGGAAGCAGACCACACACACACCTTCCAACCTCTGGGCCTTCACCGTGACAAACCAGGACCCAGGGGGGTGAGGGGGGGCTGCCCTTCCCACCTTCTGCTGGCGCGCTTGCTGGCACCTTCCATGACCTAACACCAGCCCCATCTTCCAGGAAGCGTCCCACCCCCACCGAGAAGTGACTGTTCTCACCCATGTCCTTGGTGTTCCTGGACCCCAGGGCCCTCGTCTCTATAGATACGAAGGATCCCCTGCCCCTCAATGGGAGCTCCCCAAGGCAGGTATCCCTGGGGCCTGCTAAGTGCTGGCCCAGACCTGGCCTCCGGTAGGTTAACCCTACAGTTTTGTCAAATGAATGAGGCTCAGCCCTAGCCTTGGCCCACTTTGGCTTTGGGGGGGGGGGGGAGGGCCTCAACTCCCCCACTTGTAACATAGATGGGAGGTAGGGCATGATGCCTGAGACCCTGTGTGCACTGATGAGCCAGGACTGGGTGGTGAGATGGGGCCTCTTAGCAGGCAGGTGAGGAACGGTTTAGCCCCAAGGGTAGCTAATCCTCGTCTCTCCAGGGCCAGCCACAGACTGCACTGCAATGGGAGAGACTCCTTAGCGGGCAAACCAGGCCCAGGAGAGGTAACACCCACCTGGTGTCTAACCTTTTGTGCTTCCCCAATGGCCTTCAAGGACCTTCTCAAACTGGGTCCTGCTACAGCATCCAGCCCTCAGCAATCAACGGTCCCTTCAGGCCCTCTGGCTTCTTGGCTGTTGCCCATGTTATTCCTCTGCCTCTCACTTGCCCCTGAGCTTTGCCCTTCAGGGTTCCACTGAGCCAGTACCTCCTCCAGGGAGCCCTCCCTGAGACACCTTCCTCCTCCCCACCCCCCACCCACAGCCTGGTCAGGGGCACTTCTGTGCTTTCACAGCTGCCTGTACTCACTCCCCGTGGTATTCCTCACCTTGGGTTTAACGGCCAGTTCCAGGGCTCCCCCTGCACCCCCACAGCCTAAGCTCCGTGAGAACAGGACTATGTCTGTCTTATCTGTGGGAGCCTGTGCCAAGCTAGAAGCCGCACACGGAGGAGGTGCTCGCTCACTCAAGAACTAGTGACCCCAGCCTTCTCCGTGCCAGGCCCTGTCTGCCTGCTGGATGGACGGACTCAAGAATGAGTGTCCGCGGGCCTGGGTCCAGCACTGGGAGTCGCCTTCTGTGACCCCAGGCCCTTCCCAGGCCCCTCCTGGAAGGGGCTGCCCCTGCCGGCCCACCCTGCCGTTACCTGGCCAGATGATGGCTTCCAGCAGGGTGACCCGTCTGGCCAGGAGCTCCAGCTGAGCCTGCTGCTGCAGGAAGCTCTGTAAGCTAGGAGCCTGATGGGAGATCGAGAAGAGCAGACGGTGCGAGTCCGGCCTCCGAGGGCGGGGCCGGGGGGCCGAGGGGGGTGCATGGGCCAGGCACCAGCCGGCTTCAAGGCAGGAGCCTGGGTGTGAGTCTCTGAGTGGGGACAGGGCTAGCCTGGCTCCTCATGTGACCAGATGGATGACGGGTAGAGGGTTGGTGGGTGAATTCCTGGGCTGAGATGAGGGCGTGACAGACCCCTACAGGGACCCTCAGGGGAGGTTAGGGGGACCGGAGGGAAAGGGAAGCTGTCACAGGGATATCTGAGGCCAGGAAGACCTGCCGGGAGGGCCTCTGGGGGCTTTTGGGTGAGGGAGGACCAGAATTGGTGGGTAGGATATTACCCAGAGGCCCCTGGGGCCTGAGCCTGGTTCTGTCACTCGCAGTCCCCTGCATTTCTGTGGGCCTGGAGACTGGCTCTGTTACCCATGCTTTCTCTAGAGCTGAAGCCTGACTGAAGTCTGGACCCATTACCCATAATCCTCCTGCAGGCCTGGGCTCTGACTTTATTTCCCACAACCCCCTGCACTGTTGCAGCCTGGCTCTGTCACCCACAGTCCCCTTCCTGCTGGTCTGGAGTTTGGCTTCATTTCGGATTTCTTCCAAACTCGCAATCTGTCACCTCTGGTGTCCCCTGCAGGCCTGGAAGCCACATCACCCACAATGCCAGGAGGCCCAAGTCTGACCTCAGAGGGGAGGCCCAGGTTCCCCTGTGTCGGAGGGACCAGTCATTGAGGGGTCGGTGGGCTTGGCCTCTCCGGCCTCATGACTGGGCCCAGGCAGCTCCACCCTGGAGGGCCTGGGCAAGGCTGGTGGGCAGGGGCTGGGCTGTCTGTCCGTCTGTCTCTACTCACCATAGAGCCCAATCATTGTTTCCAAGATTAAAACCCTCTCAGCTAAAATCTTCAAAGCCTCGCGTAGTTGGTGCAACCCCTCCCCCTGCGGAGGAAAGAGACAGATGCAGCCGTGAAGGGGGCAGGGGAAGGGGCCCTGCAAAGCCTGCTGGTGGCCCATGCCCCGCCCTGGTCATGCACCTGCAGCCGGCACCCCTGCCACAGCCCAGGGCCCACGGACAGCGGGACAAGGCCAGGAAAGGACGGGAGGGGGCAGAGCAGGCAGAAGCAGCCCTCCCAGCGAGTCCTGGTGGATCCCAGCTGGCTGCTGTCTCCCCACACCCTTGCAGGTCCTGCTGCATTGGGGGCGAGGGGATGCCAGTCCACAGGGGCTGTGCTGCTGACCAGAGCCTGCCATGGAACCTGCCACAGAATGTGCCCTGGAGGTGGCCACACAGCCCCGCTGCGCCGTCTCTAATATTCTTTATACCGACACACTTTCTGTCTATAGCCATCAGTGGGCTCAGGCTACTTACCAATATTCTTTCCGTTCAAATGAATATGTACAAGTAAAATTAGCACATGTTCAAGTGGCACTGCTATTGGGAAGCTGTTTAAAATGCTGGCAAAGCCCTAACCGGTTTGCTCAATGGATAGAGCATCGGCCTGTGGACTGAAAGGTCCCAGGTTCGATTCCGGTCAAGGGCATGTACCTGGGTTGCGGGCACATCCCCAGTGGGAGGTGTGCAGGAGGCAGCTGATCGATGTTTCTCTCTCATCGATGTTTCTAACTCTCTATCCCTCTCCCTTCCTCTCTGTAAAAAATCAATAAAATATATTTTTAAAAAAATGCTGGCAAAGCTGAGGTTCTGGCCCTGGCGCCCTCTCCCCAGTCCCTTCCCATTTTGGGCTCATCCCTCCCAGGCTCCGACTGCTCCATGCCTGTATTCTGCAGGCCCAAGAGCCAGCCCTCAGCCCCACCCTCTCTTCTAAGCAGCTCCTCTAGCCCCCAGGCCCAGGGATGTGGCAGCGCCAGGCCCAAAAAGCTACCCTCCTCCCAGGCCTCCCTGATCTGGGGGCTCCCTACTGCCAAGCAATGCCAGCTGCTGCCCAGGGCTCGTGGCAGAGACCACCAGCTGGCACTCACTGTCACTTGCTACCAGTCTGTCTGTGCTTTCCTTCCACAGCATAGGGCCCACGGTCTTGCCCAAACTCACACTCCCTCCCTCCTTTCCTAGTCCAGACTTAGCTATCTGCGATGTAGATATCTCAGTTCCAACAGAGCCCCAGATGGCAAATATTTTTATTGATTTCAGAGAGGAAGGGAGAGGGAGAGAGCGATAGAAACATCAGTGATGAGAGAATCATTGATTAGCTGCCTCCTGCACGCCCCTGGGGATTGAGCCCATGACCCAGGCATGCAACCCTGGACCGGAATCGAATCCAGGACCCTTCAGTCCGCAGGCTGACGCTCTATCCACTGAGCCAAACCGGCGAGGGCTAGCTCACTATGGTCTAGCCCACCGTGACTGTTATGATCCAGGTGTCCTGTCCACATCAAATGGATTGAGCTTCCCTCGGGCCACTGAATGGCTATTGCAGCCTGTGTGTGTGTGTGTGTGTGTGTGGGGGGGGGGGGGGGTCACAGGGTCACCACAGGCTGTACACCAAAGTAATCTCTCTTCAAGTATTACGGGAGGAGGATCTAAAAGTGGATGACCTTCACAAATTATGTTAAACTATATCCCGCATGGACAGTGGGACAAGCAGACATCATGAGCCTCCTGCTGAGATGCAGTCAGAGGGCACCACATCCCTCCTCAGTGCTCCTGCCAGGAGCATCTAACCTGCCTCTCATCACCAGGAACCAACCAGGCAAATCCACAGGATGGAACGAACATTCACCAAAAGGCAGAGCCAAGAGAAGAAAAAAGGGCAGAGGGCCCGTCCTAGACTAAAAGAGATTACAGATGCCTGGCCAGTGTGGCTCAGTGGTTGAGCATCGACCTCTGAACCAGGAGGTCATGGTTCGATTCCCGCTCAGGGCCTATACCTGGGTTGCAGGCTCAATCCCCAGTGTGGGGCGTGCAGGAGGCAGCCGATCCATGATTTTTTCTCATCATTGTTGTTTCTCTCTCTTTCTCCCTCTCCCTTCCTCTCTGAAATCAATAAAAAATGTATTTTTTTTTAAAAGAGACTATAGGTTGCTAAAAAAAAAATAAAAAAAAGACTAGAGGTACAACCAAATGTAATGTATGAATCTTGATCAGAAGTTTAAATAAAACAGCTATAAAAGGCATTTTGGGTACCACTGATAACATTTGTATATGTTACATTTTAAGTGGCATCATTGCGCTGGATTCATGTCAGCTTTCTTAGGTGTGACAGCGGTATTGTGGCTCTTTGGGGGAATGTCCATAGTCTTTTGAGATGCACAATGATGTGTTAGGGGAGATGTGGATGAAGCATGAAACTTGCTTTCAATGGATTAGAAAAAAGGTCTGCAAATATATAAAGAGAGAAAGATAGAGCAAATGTGGCAAAATACGAAGGGGAGAATAATATTCATTGTAACCAACATTTCAGCGTATTTGAAAGTTTTTAAAATAAAAATTTTGAAAAACGTAAAAAAAAAGATTCTGCTATTTGGATCCCTCCCTAGATGGGGGGCCTGCTGTTTGCTCTGATGACACCCCAGTCCCCCCCCCCGCCCGGTGCCCCAGCCTGGCCTGAGCGCCAGGGCCTGTTGAACGCCCCCACTTGACCATAATAGACGTCTCCCATTTTCCATGGACAAAACCCAGCGGGCCCCTTCTCCTGGCTCTCCTTGACTATTGTGCGTCTCCCTTAACTCTCGTTCCCCCTCGCAGCCAAACCAGCACCCAAACGTCGCTTAGCTCCAGTGACATCTGTCCACCCTCACTGTCCCCATTCCCAGTTCCAGCCCCCAGGCTCTTGCCATGATGACCAGACAGCCTTCTACCTACAGCCTTCTACCTACAGCCTTCCACCTCATCTTCCTGCTTTTCCCGTTCATTCTCCACAGGGTCACAGAGGCACCTTCTGACCACATCAGTCTCCTGCTCATACTATTTCAATGACCCCCCCACTGCTCACAGAACAAAGTTCAAATTCCTCACTATGGTCTCCTCAGTCTTGACCTCTGTCCTTCACACTCTGCTACTCCCAGAGCAAACACACGGCGCCCCGCTCCTCTGTCTCAACACCCTTTGCCTGGTTAATGTATCTTTTAGGCCCCGGCACGTTCTCCACCAGAAAGATGCTAAATCCATGTGTCCCCCCCACCCCCCATCACAACTGAGCTCCCCTTGTCCGGTTGCTGCTGGTTACTAGTCTGTCCCCTCTCCTCCCCGCTGCCTCCCAGTGACCACCGTGAGGGTGGGGCCAGTGTCCAAATTGCATCTGTGTCCTGGGGCCTGGCGCCCACCGGGGAGGTGCTTGGGGGAATGTTAGCTGGTTCCCCCCAGTCCTGGGAGCTGAAAAAGCCTGGGCTTGGCTGGCCCACCTCAGCCGCTCCCTAGCAGTGCGTGCAGTGCATGCACATGGCCACTGGGTGTCACTGCTGAGCTACAGCGGGGCCAGTGGCTCCGCAGTGGGGCTGGTCGAGTGTGGATAGGAGTTCCCAGGGTCCCCCCCCCACACGACCTCGTTCCCACCTGCTCCCAACAGAACAGCTCCCCAGCCTCCAAAGCCTCATGCGGCCCCAGCCCAGCAGGCCCCTCCCAGGTAGGCAGCAAGCAGGCGCAGAGGTGCGGGAGGGGGGGGGGGAGGCAGGTGGATGGGCAGGGGCCCTGCTACCTCTTGGGGCCCCTCCCACAGGTGGTCCTGGGTTTGAGGCCTGATGTGGGATAGTTCAGGCATCTGTTCTCCGGCTGGGGTCCCCATGCAGGGACGGGGCTGCTGAGCCTAATTCAGGCTTCACCTCGCCCTCCCGCCTTTCCCGGGCGGTGGAAAATGTGCTGGGAGGGGCCCGGCAGGGGCTGAGGAGAGGCACAGGGCTGCGCTCACATGGGTGTGCTTAAGAGGCTCTGGAGCCACCCGGGGTGGGGGTGGGGGGGCGGTGGGAGAGGTGGGGTGGCAGTGAGGAGCTGGGAGAGGCTTGCCAGAAAGGTAGCAGGACCCCAGAAGTCGGGGAAAGACATGGGGTTGGACTCGTGCAGGGTGGGGACTCCCACGGCTGTATCCATCACTGACCCCACAATCAGGAGCAGAGAGGGCAAGGCGGGCGCTGGGTGCTTCCCGTGTCCTCACCAGCCAGTGCCCGCCAGGAAGCAGGACTTCCCAGCCAGACTGCACCAGGGATGGGGGCGGGGGAGAGGGAGGCACAGGACCAGCCTCCAAAAGAGCTTCCCAGTTCTCTCTCCCGTAGGGGTATCTGCCCCTATCCTGTCCATTTTCCAAATGTCGCCTATGTCAGCGACGCTATCCAGGTCCCTGCATTTAGGGGCTTTTGGTCCTCTCCCAGTGTGTCGCTTGGGTAGGTAGATTTACGATCTCCGATCTCCGATGATTGTGACTGTTTCTAGGACCCCACATGTGGTTTCTAGGTGCCCTTTCTCCTTTATTCTGTCTCCTGTGTACGTGACAGTTTCTAGGCCCCCCTCTCCATTCTTCCTGGGCTTCCTTTGTGCAGGGTGCTCTCTAGATCCCCTCATCTCACTTTCTATGGTTCTCCTGTGCCTGGGACAGTTTCTAGGTGTCTCCTCCCCTTCCTCTGGGTCTCCTATGTATGCGATGGTGTCTAGGACTTCGTGTTAATTATGGGTCTTTTGGGCACAGTGGAGTCTATGACCTCATTTACCATCTACATTATATGCGTGACAGTTTCTAGGCTGCTCTTCCCACACTCCGTGAATTTCCTCCGGGTGTGATGGTGTCTAGGTGCCCTGTACCTCTTACCAAGGGCTCCTGTACCTCAGCATGTCGAGCCTCCCTGCCTATATAGGTTCCATGGCTTTCCTAAGGCCCCCATCCCATTCTTCACACTTCTCTTTCTTCTGTGGACAGGGGAGCAAAAGCCAGAGCCCTGGCTAGGGGAGGGCCATGGAGGCAGGGGATGCAGTCTGGACTGGGTCAGCCCACACTGCCAGGAGGAACAGGCAGGGCCACCCTGGCCTGGAGAGGCTGCAGAGGGAAGGCGGAGGCAGGGACGTGAAGGCAGAGACAGAGAGCGTGGGGTCTGCTGATGAGGCCGGCCCTGCCCCGTTGGGAGGGACAGGAGCAGGGAGGGGGCGAGGCCTGAGAACGGTCAAGGCTCCTCCCTGGGAGACCAGGTTGCAGTGGGGATTTGGCGGGGGGGCCCCCACTCCAGAATGACCTCCTGAGTGTCCAGGGCAGGCGGGGGCAGCCGTGTGGGCCCTGAGCTTACCCAATGGCTCTTCTCACCGGGGTCTCCTTTGGGCCCAGGTTCTCCCTGCAATGAGAAATAGAGGTAGAAGCACCCGAGCCGGTTGGCTCAGTGGATAGAGCGTCAGCCCTCGGACTGAAGGGTCTCAGGTTCGATTCCAGTCAAGGGCAGGTACCCTGGGTGCAGATTCCCCAGCCCTGGTCGGGGTGTGTGCAGGAGGCAACCAATCGATGTGTCTCTCTCACATCGATGTCTCTCTCTGTCTCTCCCTCTCCCTTCCACTTGCTCTAAAAATCAATGGAAAAATATCCTCGGGTGAGGATTAACAACAACAACAAAAAAAGAAATAGAGATAGAAGCAATGAGAGAGGAAAGGAGAGAGGGAGGGAGGGCAGAAGGAAAGAAGGGAAAGAGAGAGACATATTGAGGGAGGCAGAGAGACAGAGAGGCAGAGACAGAAGGTGGCTTGTATCGGACTAACACTAGATAAAATGCAGAGAGCAACTGTTTGAAGACAATGGAAAGTGATAAAGAGCAGCCAGAAGCTGGAGGGTATCTGGCCTTTGAAAGAAGGAAACTGCATGGGTGACAGCCATATATTTATAGCTCTTCCTCTGAAGGGCATACCCCAGCCCCGCTCAGTCCCGCAATCAGCTCAAGCAGAAAGCTTTCGTTTTATTGGCCTGCGGAGTCAGAGGTCAAAACTGATAGAACTGCAAGGAGACACAGGCCAGTCCGCTATTGTAGTCGGAGGCCTTAACACTCTGTCAGGAATGGACAGGTCCAGCCGGCAGAACGTCAGTAAGGACCTCGCTGAACGCAACAATGCCAGCACTCAACTGGAGATAACTGACATCTATAGATCCCTTCATCCCACAACAGCAGGACACACATTGTTCTCCCGCTCACATGGAGCATTCACCAAGACAGACCACATAAAAATAGACCCAACACGTTGAAAAGAACACAGACCATACCATGTTTGTGGTCAGACCACAATGGCATTAAACTAGGAACCAATAATGAAAAGATAACTGGAAAAATCCAAAACAGACTTGGGGTTAAACAATACACGTCTACATGACACATGGGTCAAAGAAGAAACTTTAAGAGACATTTTAAAATATTTTGAGCTAAATGAAAATAAAAAGACAGCTTATCAAAAAAAATTGGGAAGGCCGTGAAAACAGTGCTGAGAGGGAAATTTATAGCATTGAACACACGTTAGAACAGCGGTTCGCAACCTGTGGGTCGCGACCCCTTTGGGGGTCGAACGATCCTTTCACAGGGGTGGCCTAAGTACATCCTGCATATCAGATATTTCCATTACGATTCATAACAGTAGCAACATTACAGTTATGAAGTAGCAACGAAAATAATTTTATGGTTGGGGGTCACCACAACATGAGGAACTGTATTAAAGGGTCGCGGCATTAGGAAGGTTGAGAACCACTGTGTTAGAAGGAAGAATGACCTAAAACCAATAACCTAAGCTCCCACCTTAGCAAAGTGAAAAAAGAAGAGCAAATTAAATCCAAAGTAAGCAAAAGAAAAGGAATCGGAAAAATTAGAGGAGAAATCAATGAAATGGATGCATGTCAGTCGGCATACTTCTGTCAACAGCCATCGAATGTACAACACTAAGAGGGAACCCTAATGTAAACTATGGACCTGGGGTGGTAAGTGACATGTCAATCTGGGTTCATCAGTTGTACTAAAGGTACCACTTTGGTGCGAGATGTCAGCAATGGGGGAGGGTGTGCATGTGTGACAGGGAGTGTATGGGACCTTTCTGTACTTTTTGCTTAATTTTGCTGTGAATCCAAAAGAATGTTCTAAAAAAAGAATTTAATCAAACAAGACAACCAGCAAGAACAAAAAGCCCAGCACCTTACAGATTCAGGAATCTCCATGAACCCAAAGCAGGATAAACACAGAGAATACCACACCCAACCACATCACGATCAATCGGTTGAAAACGAAGGGTAAAGCGAAAATCTTAAAAGTCAAAGAATACAGAGGAATGATGATAAGAATGACAGCCAATTTCTCATGAGAAATTATAATGGTCTCTGTAAGTCAGAAGACCACTGGACATCTTTAAAGCGCTAAGAGGCAGGAAAACTGCCCACCTATCATTTTATAGCCAGTGAAAATATCTTTCAAAAGTTAAGGGAACGACAGCGTTGGACAAACAAAGGCAGGGAGGATCTGTTGTCTGAAGACCCACACAACAAGAGGCGCGAGCCCCTCCCGATTGGGACGAACTGGGTGCGAGCCCACGGCAGATGCAGCAGGGCCAGGATGAGCAGGAGTGGCAGGCAGGGGCGGCAGGCGGCGTTGGACTGCCAGTTTGGCCCAATCTCTGCAGGCCACGCCAAGGGACTCCACAGTTCACGAATCCGTGCACCGGGCCTCTAGTAAAATACTGAATGTGTATTCAAAGCTTAGAAATCCATGAAGCAAAAACTGACCAAACTAAAGAGAGAAACAGACAAATCTACCATTATAGTTGGAGGGATAGAGAAATACAGGGAGTTGAAGAGATAGAGACACAGAGGGAGAGAGAAACAGGGACAGAGTCTGGGAGATGGAGGTGGCCGGACCGTAAGAGGATGATGAACCTGAGACAGGGAGGAAGGAGATGGAGCACCCCCTGGACCAGACAGGGAGGATCAGGGGCTCTAGCCACAGGGGCTGGAGCCAGCGCAGGGGTCTGTGCCCATAGGATCCTGAAGGGGGAGCTGCAGGGGGGCAGCCTCACTCACCCGCTGTCCCATGGAGCCTTGGGGGCCTGGCTCTCCACGCAGTCCCTGTGTGGGAGGGAGGAGAGGTACGGAGTCAGCTGCTGGGGTGTCTGACCCAGAGCCCCCAAGCCTCCCCAGAATCCTCCATCCGGGGCCCATTCAGTACTCACTCTCTCACCCTTTTCTCCTGGGTGGCCAGAGATTCCTTGGGGTCCAGTGGGGCCTGGGGGTCCCTGAGCAACAAGACAGGGCTTCAGCCTTGAGCTGGGGCAGGGTAGAGCGGGCGGGGACTTGGGGGGCAGAGGGGTTGGGGTGAAAGCTCCAGCTTGGCCTGGGCCTCTGGGCCCTTCACACATCCAATGACAGGTACACAGAGGGACATGCACACAGCCCAGTGTTCACAACTCTGGCCCTGGAACCAGACAGTCCCCAGCCTGATCTGGAAGTCGCCATGTGCTGGTCACAGCCCTAGGGAAGTTATCACCACCTCTCTTGGCCTTAGGTAAGAGCCACGGTGCTTCTTGTTACAGGGGTTGAATGAGAAGCTTTAGGAAAAGTCGTGTGTCCACTCGGTGCTCCATAAACACTCGAATGAAGGAATGAAAGGATGGATGGGTGGATGATGGGTGGGTGAGTGGACAGATGGGAAGACGAGTGAGAGTACTTGGAGAAATACTCACTGTGTGGCCAGGGCTCCCAGGGATGCCCATGGGACCAGGAGGTCCAGGGGGACCTGGAATGAGACAGGATATCCTAGAGACTTGCCTTTGGGTGGTGGATGCACAATACAATATACAGATGATGTATTACAGAATGACACCTGAACCCTATGTAATTTTATTAACCAATGTCACCCCAATAAATGCAATTAAAAAACAAAAAAAAAGACAGGATATCCTCAGGACCAATGCAGAGTACAATGGCAGGAAATCTACCATCAACTCCCTCCTGACAGCCACAGCGCTAGTCGCTAGTCGCTCTGACATCCCTCAACCCCACCCGGAACCCCAGGCCTGGATTCAACTTACCCATAGGCCCTGGGGGCCCAGGGGGCCCAGCCGGTCCCTGGGGCCAGTGGCTGCTGGTCTCAGTGAAGGTGTTAGACAGAAATGGGTCCCCTGCAGGAGGAAAGATGAGGAGTGGGCAGGGCTGGGTGGGGTGGGGCTTGGGCAGAGAGGGGCAGGCCTGGAGGTCCCCTTTCTCCAGGGATGCCCACAGCTCCAAGCTGGCTATGACTACCCTGTAGGACATGGGGGAGAAGGGGGGAGGAGAGTGTTGGCTACACAGGCCCAGAAGGCAGAGAGACCTGGGTTCTAATCCTGCCACAGTCTAGCTGTGACATCCAGTAAGACTCTCCACCTTGCTGGGCCTGTACTGTCACATGTCCAGTGGGAATAATAAGAAAAGCTACCCTTTATTGGACCACCTACGTTGAGCCAGGCTTCTGTGCATGAGTGTCACAGAGCTCTGGGAGGTCAGCACTGTCCTTATTCCCATTGTACAGATGAGGAAACTGAGGCTCGGAGAGGGAGAGCGGATGGTGAGACGGAATGGAGGGGAGAATGAATGGATGGGGCACCAATATGACGCAGATGAGGTTGAACCTGGCACTCCAAGCTCTGACCCTCTGGCATCACACATGTAGGTTAGGCTGGGGAGGCGGTGAAGGATGAACGTCGGGGCCTAGCTGGGTGGAGGGGGCCGGGGCTTCTCTGAGCACAGGGGCAGGGCTGTGGCCTTGGGAGCTCAGGGCTCACTTCCTGCTGCTGGCCTTGACCTTGCCTGTGCTCGGAGGGCTGGCTCCTGGCCAGCTCCAAGGCTTGGCGGCCGGGCCTGATGCCAGGTGGCTCCAGCACAGGCTCAGAGGCCGCCTGGGTGTGAAGCCAGTCCCCATGCCCTGGCTGTGTGGTCTCCCCGCTCTGGCCCTCAGTTTTCCTCACCAGTGAACAGAGGAGGACAACAGCGCCCGTCCGAGGACTGGGTGACATGTGGCTGACCAAGAGCAAGCTCTGCAAGTGCCGGGTAGACAGCAGTAACGTTGTGGTGATGCCTTATGCCAGCCTCACCCCCCTGGACCTGCTGTGACCCAGAGGGACTCACCATGCTCAGAGATCCGGGCGTGGGGCGGTCCAACGGGGGCTGGGGGGCCGGGGGGCCCAGGGGGCCCTGGGGGACCTGGTGGTCCCCTTTCTCCAGGGATGCCCATAGCTCCGTCCTGGCCAGGGCTCCCTGGGGGGCCCTGTGGACCTGCAACGGAACCAGGGGGATGGGAGGGTATGCAGGAGGCAGAGAGGCCCCGGGCGGCTGCCAGGGTTAGGACAAGGCAGCCTGGGGCAGCGGGGATGAGGGCTCTGGAGGCCACAGGCCAGGGCAATTCCTGGCTCTGACTTCCCTGGCCCTTTATTAGGAGAGAAAACACAGCCCTCCCTGGGGCGTTAGGACAATGGACACTTGGTGCTCAGTAAATACTGACTTCCGGAACGTTTCCAGAATGTTCTCTTCTCTCCCTTGTTGCATGTGCTGTTCCCTCTTTCAGTCCTCCCTCTGCTATTCCTGGTGTACCCTCGGGTCATCCTTTAGGCCTCACCTGAGATGTCACTCCCACCCTATCCAGGCTGGGTCTGGGATCCCTTCCTTGGGGCTCGCTTACCTGCAATGTCCCCATCACAACCCTGGTCACCTGGGTGGGCACTGCTGTTTCTCTTCCGCCCAGGTCTACCCTTTCCCATCGGGGCGCTCCAGGAGGGCAGGGACTGGTCGGACCCCACCCCCCTCCCCAGTGCCCGGCTCAGAGCCTGCTGGGAGTAGCTTCCCAGAGAACACGGGCCACGTGAATACAAAAGAGGGTTTCAAGGGGCCCAGGCCTGAGTGGGGCGCCCTTGGACGGTGGTGAGACAAGCGAGTGGCAGGGGCCCGGGCCACCACTGGCTATGTCAGGGTCGGGGAGGAAGATCCCAGCCTGGGTCCACGGGAGGGGGGTCAGGCCAGGAAAGTTAGGGGGGCAGTGCCGTGGACACTCACCTGGGGGGCCTCTCATTCCTGTTGGGCCCCGGCTGCCAATGTCTCCCTTGGGGCCAATGGGCCCGTGAAGTCCCCGGGCACCAACTCGGTCTGGGGGAGAAATCTCATCAGCTCTGGCCTCCTCCTGCCCCGACCCCGGGCCCCCAGCCAGCACCTACCATCTCGAGGGAGCAGCGGGGCCCTCGGGGTTTCTCTGGCTCCGGGCAGCCCTGGAGTTGGGGGGCGGGGGGCCTGGGTCATCCAGAGTCCCTGCCCTTAGCGCCACCAGAGGAGGTGGCACGGTCTGCTGGGCCTCCCAGGACCCCAGAGAGATCAGGGACGACCCAGGCCCACAAGGGGGAGGAGCTGGGAGCCGGCAGAGTAGAGACTGGCATCTCATTCCCACGAGGGAGTGTGCTCCCCACCGACCCACTCACCTCGGAGGTCTCCATCTCCAGGGCTGCCCTGGGCAGCTGGGGAGCCCCAGAGAGGGGCGGGGTCCTCGGGGGCGGCTGGGGTTGGGGGCACCGCCTGCTGGGTGACAGTCAGCACGGCCACCTGTGGAGAAAGAGGGAGAAGAGAGATGGATGGGATGGGTATCAGGGCCTCACCAGGGACAGGCCAGCTGATGGGCTGTAGGCTGGGGCATGCAGGATGCAGCCAATCAATGATTCTCATCATTGATGTTTCTCTCTCTCTCTCTCTCTCTCTCTCTCTCTCTCTCTCTCTCTCTCTCTCCCTCCCTCCCTCTCTTCCTTCTTCTCTGCAATCAATTGAAAATATAGATCTAAAAAAATGGAGGAGGTGTTCACAGCTGTCCAGTATTCCACAGCAGCTTTCTCCCTAATAATGCAATCAACCCCTCCTGTTCTCTGGTTTTCAAAGTTCCCGGTGAACAGCGAACACTTTGGTAAACACCGTCACCTCTAATCTCCTTAAGATAAACTCCCACCCTGACCGGTTTGGCTCAGTGGATACAGCGTCGGCCTGCAGACTAAAAGGTCCCGGGTTCGATTCCGGTCAAGGGCATGTACCTTGGTTGCGGGCAAATCCCCAGTAGTGGGTGTGCAGGAGGCAGCTGATCGATGTTTCTCTCTCATCGATGTTTCTAACTCTCTAGCCCTCTCCCTTCCTCTCGGTAAAAAAATCAATAAAATATATTTTAAAAAAAGATAAACTCCCAGAGGAAGGAATAAGGGAGGAGAGGGTGTGCAGGCAGAGTGTATGCCTCTACACGATCTGGGAGAAAGATGCTTACATGTGGACGGCCCCTCTCTCCAGGGGCACAGGCGTGGGTGCGAATGGTGTTTGGGCAGGTTTATCACGGTGCTGAGTTTTTTATGTTTCTGAAAACACGAGGGTTTTACTTTTTAATTGTTCAAACCTTTTTGAAAGAATGTTTGAGATGTGCAAGAGATGATCGGCTTTTGAAACTGGGCGATGGGGGAATAAAGGATGAAGGTGATGGGGCAAGGAGGAGCCTCACCATGAACCCTAGGGGTGTCTACAAATATCTGGCTGGGATGGGAATGGGGGTGCAAGTGGGGGGGAGCTTCGTGGCACTCCTGGAAGAAGAGCAGGCTTCCCAGGCAGGAGCACGGTGGGAGAGGCCAAGAGAGCTGGCTGGGACAGACGGGAGGGTGGAGGGTGGCCGGCAGGGAAGCTGCCTGCCCATGGATGCTGTGAGCATGGGGTGCAGAGAGGGGGTGGGAGGCTGGGGAGGAGGGGACAGCTGCTCACCCACCTTGGCCTCCAGCACCTTCAGCCGCTCCGCCAGGTCCGACACCTTGCTGCAGTTGACACAACCTGGAGGCAGGATGGAGGAAGCGAACAGACACCTGATGACCCCCACCCAGGAGGCAGCCTAGCCCGGGGGAGACGCTGCAGGCATGGCCTGTCCAGGGGGGACCATGCCCTGCAGGCTTCTCCCAGAGCAGGACCAGGGAGCCAACTCCTGCAGCCTTGGCATCCAAAACGACTCCTTTCCGGGAAGCCGGGCAGGAAATCCTGTGGCTTCACCTGGGCGGGGCTGCCTGGGCTTGCTGGACACATTAGCGTCTGGAACGGGCTGGCCTCAGAGGTGCCACCCCTGACCCTCCCTCCAGAACCACTGTCTGGCGCCTGCAGCCTCCTCGGCGATACCCCTTCGCTATTCATGACAGTTCTGGCTGGTTACTGAGCCTCCTGGTGGCCGGGCACTGTTGATCCTGTGCTTTAGGACAAGGGTCACCCCCGTTCACACCTGAGGACACTGAGCTCAGAGCGAGGGGGGACGAGTGTGTAACAGGCACAGAGTCTCAGCGCTGCCCCTTCCCGGCAGTGGGGCCTCTGGCAGGGCACGCCCTCTCTCTGACCATCAGCTTCCTCCTAAGATGGGGACAGAGATGCCTTCCTGGGGGACAGGGACACGACTGAGTTTTAAACAGGTTGCCATGGGAAGCACCTGGCCCGGTGCCTCTCACAGTGCAGAGGCTCAGGGAAGCTTAGTATCAATAAAAAGAGGAGCCCTGACCGGTTTGGCTCAGTGGATAGAGCGTCGGCCTGCGGACTGAAGGGTCCCAGGTTCGATTCCGGTCAAGGGCATGTACCTTGGTTGCGGGCACAGCCCCAGTAGGGAGTGTGCAGGAGGCAGCTGATAGATGTTTCTCTCTCATCAATGTTTCTAACTCCCTATCCCTCTCCCTTCCTCTCTGTAAAAAATCAATAAAATATATTAAAATTAAAATAAAAATAAATAAAAAGAGGAGCCAGCCGGCGGCGGCGTGGCTCTGTGGTTGAGCGTCGCTAAGAACCAGGAGGTCAGGGTTCGATTCCCGGTCAGGGCACATGCCCGGGTTGCGGGCTCCATCCCCAGTGTGGGGCCTGCAGGAGGCAGCCGATCCATGATTCTCTCTCATCATTGATGTTTCTCTCTCTCTCCCTCTCCCTTCCTCTTTGAAACCAATAAAAAAAAAGTACACATGGCTATGAAAAGAGGAAACTGGGGGTGTGGACCTGTGTCTGCAAGAGTTTGGGGTCACGGTCTCGGGGTGGCTGGGCCCAGGTCAGACTCTCCTTGGGGGCCCTTCCTCTCCCCCTCGAGGTGTTCTCTGCAGCCCGGGGCAGGCAAGGGCAGGGCACTCTCCTGACTGCACAGCTGGACCGAGATGGCTTTTTGGGCCGTCACCACACTGCCGGGCCCCTGCCAGGCCTCCCCTAGCCCAGGGGCACCCCACGCAGCGGCCCGAGGACCCACCTGAGAAGGCTGTGGGCCGGAGCATCATCCGCCGCATGGCGCTGCCTGACCACCTGGGCTCCACGAAGCCAGAGGAGCCTGCAACTGAAGGACAAGCAGGGATGAGAGTCCTGCTGGCCCGGCCATCCCTGTTTGGTCAGAGCCCCTGGCCCACCTGCCCCTCGAGCCCCAGCAGGGATCTCTACTCCCCTTAGTGCAGAGGTAGACAGAGGCCCAGAGAGGTGGGGCAGTTTACACCTGGGTCACACGGGTCCCTCCACCTGCCAGCCTGATGGGGCTGGGGAGAGGGGGCTGGCAATGGGTAGGGGCCGTGGGAGAGGCTGGGAGCTCCCCAATCACCCCGACGAGCTGCCTGTGTTAAAAGCTTAGCGGTAACATATGCAGGGTTGGGTCCTGTCACTTGCTGACCTTGTGTGACTTGTTCTCTCTGGAACTATTTTCCCATCTGTAAAATGGGGCCATAAGGCCACTCTATCTCCCAGGCTGGTGTGAGGGCCGAGGCCGGCGATGTGGGCACAAGGCCCGCACACCAATAAATGGCAGTGGCGACACTGGCAGCGGCGACATTGCTGTCCACCCTCTCCCTGCCCCACTTGGTAAGAAGACACTGAAGGGAATCCAGACCCGGTTTTAAATGAAAAACAGAGGGAGGCCGGCTGCCTGGGAGGGCACGGGAGGCCCGTTTCCGGAGCCCACCCCTGTCACCACCCCCACCAGGAGCAGGCTGCCTGGCTGGTCTGGTTTTGGGGGGCCTGGTTTTCTCCACAGCTGGAGAGATGGGCTGGCCAAGCAGGGGGCGGCGGGAGGTGCAGCTGGAGGGGCTCTGGAGCCAGCAGGGCAACTGCTCCCCTCTGCCCCCCAGGCCTGCCTTTTAAGGCTTCGGAGTGTTGTCTGGGGGGAGACAAGATCCAAATAAGGCGCAGCCCTGGCAGCTCAGAGCCAGGCTGTGGGCTGGTGCAGGGAGTGAGAGGCGCCAGGAACTCAAACCAGACGGGTCCCTCCGGCCAGACCCCAGCAGGGAGGCTGCCAGACCCCGCTGGGTCCCACCACGGCCTGAGCTGAGGCTGGGCCTGCGTTGCCAGCATCCCCTCCCCAGGGACCTGTGATTTGCCCGGTGCAAGGGGGTAAAGCTCACCCAGGATGGAGGAAGGAGGGTTGGCAGCCTAGGACAGGGGAAGGGAGTGGAGGCTCTGTGGGCAGGAGGGGGATGCCATGGCCAGCACTCAGTGTTTTACGTCGCCCAGCTCAATCCTACAAGGTAGGTAATAATCATAACAATAACAGCTCACACGGACTCAGCATTCACGCTGGGCCTGGCCCATTCTAAGCACTTCACATGGACAGTCTGAGCTCATTATCCTCAAAGCCCTGTGAGTGGGCGCCGGTCTCACCTCCACTTTACAGATGGGGAAACTGCAGCCAGGGGAGCCTGCCCTGTCGCCCCTGGTGACGCAGTTCTATGGCCCCAAGGTCATGTCACAGACCGCGGGGGCCAGTCACCATCAGGGGAAACGGCTGGGGAGCCCGCCCAAGCCTGGCTGTCAGAGGAAGGGAGGGCCCGGGATGGGCCAGCAATGTCCCATGCGTCCTCACCCCCACGCCTAGGACCCAGCAGAGAGCAGTTTTCCGGAATTTCCAGGCCTGAGCTTCCCTTTCCTCAGCTCCCACCCTGTGGGAGGGGAGAGGCCGACCCTTCCCAGCCCATCGGATATCACGCAGTGCCCACCTGGGCCCCTGCACCCTCTGCAGGGTTTTCACTGCTTCGTTTCACCCTCACAACGTCCCTGGGAAGCAGACTCTCTTATCCTGACCCTGTCACAGGTGAGACCCTGAGGCTCGGGGCAGGGGCGCCCCGGCTGCTGCAAGAGCAGCCTGGTACCCGTTAGCGAAGGCGCCCTGCCCTTGGAGCGGGCAGGAGACGGTGCTGCTTGAACGGCAGCCTCCCGCCCCCTGCACGGGCCCTTGCACAACCGCTTGCACAATGCTCGGGGAGTCCCCGGCCCAAGGCCACACAGCTGGTGTGGTGGCGCTGGCCTGGCCCAGGAAGCCCGGGATAACCCCGTCCCCAGGCTGGGGCCTGAAGGCCCTGCAGAGGCAGCTGGCAGCTGTCAGGGCTGGCCTGGCCCATCCCGTCATGTACCCCTGCCTCACGGGTGCCAGAGCTCCCAGCCCTTAGCCTGGTGCCTGGATGTACGGCCTCCAGCTGCTGGACCCAAGGGTGTGGGTGCTGCCCCCACCTTGACTCTGCCCTCCATGATGGCCCCACAGGCCTGAGAAGATCTGCCCTTGAGAGGGGAGCCAGGGACGGGGTGGCCTTCGTCTGGTAGGCCCTGCCTTGGCTCAGGCCCTCTAGGCCCCGGTGGCCCCCACACCCTGGGGATTTGCCCCTCCCCACCTCCAGCTCCCCTGGCCTCCTGGGCAGCAGCCCCCCCTGGCTGGCTCTCCTCCTGGCCCCCGGTCCCGCCTCCCCCTCTCCTCCCCGCAGGGAGCGGAGGGTGCTGCTCCTGGCTCCCCTCACGCTTCCCTTCCTGGCCTCCCACACGGGCCTTGTGGCTGCCTCTCCCTCTCCATACAGGACCCCCACGAGCCTCTGCTGCCCCTCTGTGAACTAGGGCTGCCGTGGGGTCCCAGGGAGGCGACGCCTGTCAGTCTTTCAGGAAGCACCTCTGGATGGTGACTTCCGTTAGCATCACGGTCCCTTGCTGCGGAGGCCGTGTCTCACACGCCGGTGTTTCTGATGTTCACATTCACACGCCGCCCTGGGGCCCGAATGCCTTTCCACCAGGTGCTCACAGGCCTGGCTCTCAGGCTGGTTCCAGGACATTCTTGGAAACACAGCCCTTGGTGCCCGAAACCTTCCTCTCCTCGGGTTCAGCCAGGCGGCAGGGGTGGGAGTGGCCTGGACCACTTAGCAGAGGGGCAGGTGCCCATGTGGCCAGGCTGCCTCCTCTGTGCCCCTGGGGGTGCTCTGCCCCAGCCACCCTCATGGCATGCAGAGAAGTGGGGTGGGGCGAGCCTGGCACACACTCCACACAGGAGGCACCCGTCTGAGCCCTCCCATCCCCGAGGCCCTCTGGGGAGCCAGGCAGACCGGGGCTCCCATCCTGACGACCCCTCAGGAGCCGTGGGCCCACCGCCTTCCTGAGCCTCAGTTTCCCCCAGCAGGAAGGGCATGACCGTCCCGACCGTGCTGACCCACTGACCTCAGGGGCCCTTTGCTTCCATGACCTGTTCCCACAGCCCGTGGGCAGGTCTGGGTGCTCCCATGTTCGGAAGAAAGGCTCGGGTGGTGTGACTGCAGACACGAGCTACGCAGCATGCATTACGTTTCTCCAGGGGCCCTGAGAGTCTCCCCTGAGGCAGGCGGTCAACACCCGTGGGACAGCGGGCACCCACTATATCCAAGCCAGGCCTCGCTGGCAGCCGTGCGGGGGGCCACAGCGGGCACAGCACCGGACACTGCAGTGTCTACGACTGAGCAACAGTGTACCGCTCCCTCCCAAGCACCTCGGGGAAGCATGAGGCCCGAACCTGGGGGCAGTCCTACCTTCCTCGCAGCTGGGCCCCGAGTGCCCGGGGCAGCACCTCCACTCCCGGGCGGTCACTGTCTTGTACATCACCTTGTATGTGGGTCTCACCACGGTTCTGTAGCTGAAAGAATGCCGACAGGGCCCTCTGCTGTTTCTCCCACTGTCTGGCCCCCAGGGTCTTCTGTCCCCACCTCCTGTCCAGGCCCCGTTGGAGCCTCTCTCCTGCATTCTAGGATTCGACCCTTCTATTCCTTCCCAAACGTCCAGCCTGGGGATCTGGATACCAACTGGACAGGCAGCCCCTGCACGTGGAGCTGCCTGTCCCTAGCAGTGAAGGCTCCCTGAGTGAAGGCGTGTGGGTGAATGGTGGAACCCCTCCTCCAGGAAGCCCTCCAGGATGCCCCACGAACACAAAGGGAGGTACTGAGAATGGGCACAGGGCTCCCTTTGCTTCACCCACCCTGGGGCCCCAGCCTTCCCCTGCACACCCACTGCACTCCCACCACCAGGCCTCTGCCCATGCTGTGCCTCCACCTGGGATGCCATCCGCTCGGTCTCACTCACCTGTTGCCCGGGCAGCTCATGGGCCAGGGGCAGTTCTGCAGCACTCGCTGAAGGTACGTGCCGTTCTGCACGTGGCATGAGATGGTGCGGGTCACCACGTACGAGCACCAGTTCCTGAAACAGACCCACGGAGAGGATGCTCGGTGCTGCACGCAGCCAGGCCCCTGCCGGGACCCCAGGAGGGTGAGTGAGGAGCACTGTGTGCTCTCCAGGACCCCCGAGTTCTCAGCGCCCTCTGGGCCCCCGTGGGAGTCTGTGCTGCTGTGGCTGAGGAGTGGATCCCACAGCCCTGGAGGGGTGACCGTGCTGGGGGCTCTCGGGGACAAGATGGGAGCAGGTGTCTTTGAAGGGCCTCTCCCTTCTTGGCATCTCTTCTCTCCAACCCTGACCCGTCCAGGCCCCCAGTGCTTCCGGCCTCCTGCCTCCTGCCTGGATGACAGCAGCGGCCCCTCCATCCTGCCCTTCAGTCTCCCCCCAGAGGGAGTATCATAAAATGGAAACCTGGGCTGGCCTACCCCCACCCTCACCCTCTAGGCCTTAGATCCCTCACCTCCAGGCCTTTGCTCATGCTGGGCCCACTGCCCGGAGCTCCCTTCACACACCTCCCACCCTCACAGCTGCTGTGCCGTCACCTCCCCCTGTCCTTTCCCACCTCCACCTCCATCTGAGCAGAACGGATGGTTCCCTGCCCCGCAGCCCTTGGTATGGTAGCTTGTCACGCCTAGTTAAGCTGGTGATTCACCTCTGCCCGCTCCTCCCTGGCATGGGAGAGGAGAGGCCCCGTCTCCCTTATCCTTGTGCCCCTGCTGCGTGCCAGGCGGGATGTACACTGTCCCAGGCATGGAGAACTGACTTCTCCAGAGGCTAACTCATCATCCTATTGCACTGCATATATTGAGCACCTTCTGTATGCTAAGGGTATTGACATCCTTTTCCCACAGTGATCCAGGAAGGCATCCCTCCCCCCATTATACAGAGGGGTACCCTTGAGGCTCGGGGAGGGGGGAAAACTGTCCATGTCCCAGAGCCGGTGCAGGGTGGAGCGGATTTGAAGCCAGGAATCTGGACAGCCCAGCTTGGCCCTAACTCCATCTCCAAGGCCTCAGTTCCTGTCTCCTCTCCGGCTCCTGAGCCACGGTCCACGGCTCTGTGAAGGCCCAGCCTGGGAACCTGCTGACCCCGGGCTTCGGGTCACAAAGGAAAGTCTGGTGGGGGGTGTGTGTGTGTGGGGGGCGGGGCTCAGGGTGAGAAGGGTCACTGAAACGGTCCCTCCCTTCCCAGCCCCGGCAAAAAACGTAGGGTCCCTGACCCCGTGCAGGGCTGGGGCCACTGAGCGCCGGGAATGTCCCAGCCACCGCAGAGGTGCCCGCCCCACTGAAATCCACCCCCTAACTGCTGCCCTGCCCCCACCCAGGCCCACCTGGAGGAGAGAGGCCTCGGCCAGGGCCAGTCTACTACCCTGGGGAAATCCCTTCACCGTCTGTGTCACCTGGAATCAGTCCAGGAGGAGGGAACAGCTTAGCTGAAGGCATGGAGGTGGGAGAGCAGGGAGAGGGGGCGCAGGAGCCCAGCAGAGCCATGGCCAGCCACTCCCGGGAGGGGGGCCGGGCGCTGGCCGCAGTGCACACCTGGGAGCAGCCTGAACAGGACCACGAGACACGGCTGCGGTGGGAGAGCCCGAGGCCTCGTGTACAGACCACTAGGCCTGTGCAGACCGGCAGGGAAAGACTGCACTTCTATGCACCGAGAAGGGAAGGGGAAGCAAAACACTATTTACCCACGGACGCACAGGAATGGCTTTGTGCGCATCAAGTAGGCCAAGTCACACGCCCACATCCAACGGCCACCTCTGGGGGCACAGAGGGGCTGTCCCTGGGTCCTCTCTCCTGTGCTCACAGCAGCCACACGCCCGAGTATAAGCCTCGCTTTACAGGTGGGAAGACTGAGGCTCCAGGGTCTGGGACGTGCCCTAGGCAGCCGTGATGAGTGACACAGTCATGGTTGGAACTCAGGTCTGTCTGACTCCAGAGCTGGTGGTCTTAACATTACACTGGAAGTGTTTTTCCTAACGAGCAGATGGGGGTTTTATAAGTTTAAGAAGGTACCTTTCCAAAAGGCCCCCCACCCTTAGAGCCTTTGGGACCCTAGAGCTGTGGCTTTAAACCTGTTGGGGTTGTGTTTGGGGGGGAACATAAGCCCCTTTGGGAAAGTGATGTGAGTTGTGGCTCCTCCCCAGAAAAATGCACGAAATGTGGGGTACACGTTCAGGGGGGCTCAGGGGCTCTGGGCAGCCGGTGAAGTGCCCCAGGCTGGCCCAGGGGCCTTGTGAGTGAAGGAAGAATGGAGAGAGGGAGCACCCTGAGCAGAAGACAGAGGCTCCAGACACAGGAGGGGGCCCCGGGCACAGAATGAGGACCACATGCCAGTGGACAGACACGTATGCATCATACATACAGGCAAACACAGATGCACACATCAGTATGCACACGCAGTGAGCACAAGACACATATGGACGCACATGCACACAGACGCACTCACATATGCTTATGTGCATACAACTCCCATGTACATACACACAGACCCACATAGGACACACATATACACACACTCAGACCAAAGCAAATCCTACCGAAAGGACTATCCTCTTTGCACAAGGGCCCACACCTGCAGAGACAGGGCGCCCTCACACGTGGCCCTGGACCGCACCGGGGCAGATGGCCTGTGACTGCCCACCGCTGCCCGAGCTGCCCTCTGTGGGGAGCTACAGGAAACAATTTTTCCTTCTCCTTCCTTAATCAGGATCTCCCCCTGTGGGTTGCTGCATGCCCCCCTGGGTTATTTCCCACGGGTTGGAGTTTGCTTGAATTCTCTGCTTAGGAGACATGGAGCTGGTGCCCCGATAGCGAGACATTTTAGAGAGAAGGGGACACTCGGGCCAGATGGGGTGCAAGGTCAGTCCTTCATCCCCTCTCTCTGGGCCATCACCAATAACCATGCCTCACCCCTCCCCGGCCTTGGAGACCCAGCCCCACTGTCTCCGGGATGAGCCCGAGCTCCCCTCCAGGGTCCCAGCCTGGCCCCGCTGCCCTCCGGCCCCTCCGTCCACGTTCCAGGCCTCAGAAGCTCTTTGTAAAGCACAGACCTGAGTTCCCACCCACTGTGGCTCCCACGCCCCGAGAGCCCTGCCTGCTCCCCTCTCCCCACTCCCGCGGCCCCTCTTTGACCTTCCTGCCCGCCCTCCCCTCTGCTGCACCTCACATCTGTGTACACTCCTGCTCTCCGGCAAACCCCTATTCATCACTGGGGTCTCAGTCCTGAGGACCCCAGCAGAGTTGGGCACCTCCAGGGGTCGCAGCAGCCCTGAGTGTCCGGGGGAAGGACGTGCAGCTGGGATGGGGTTCAGGTGAGGGTGCGCAGAGAGGTTTGCTGAACGACTGAGCGTTGTGGCCCTGGGTCCCCAGGGATGTCTGCCGCCCCTGGAACCCCTGCCTCCGTCCTGATGCCCCTTGGGCTTCCTTTCCTGGGGTGTGGGGGGTGATAAGCTGTCCGAGAACCTCCCGAGGCTGGGCCACCACCTGTGGGACGGGGCATGGGTGAAGGGGCGGGAGGAGGCAGCCCTTCTCTCCTGGGCCTGCCATTCCAGAGGCCACTGGGGGAGAGAAAACAGGACAGACCAGCTCAGCCTGGAACCAGCTGTCCCCAATAACCACCCCCCCACCCAGCCCTCCACCCCCTTGCCATGAGGGGCCCAGGGGACTTTGTCTCGGCAGGGCCCAGGGCTATGATCCGGAACAGAGATAGGGGCTAATTGCAGGAGGCAGCCAAGCGGGCTGGGGGCCAAGGGCGGTTATGAAAAGGAGAGGAAAGAAAGGAGACGTACAGGGTGGGGGTGGGGTGACTAGAGCCAGAACCCCCTGCTGGAGGCGACGTTCCAGTCCTAGCTCTGCTGATTCCTAACTCAGTGACCTTGGACAAGGCCCTGAGCCTCACCTTGCCCATCTGCAAATGGGGACAGCAGGTCCTCCTCCAGCCACGCTGGCTCACCGTGCCAACAGCCCTTGGTGGTTCTTGTTCCTGGACTATGACACTGGCCCCCCAGCCCACAGCTGTGGCCCAGGGCCTTCCCTGGGCGTGCGGACACCAGCCCCGTACCTTCACCACGAAGTCCTCCCCGTGACTACAGGGTAGGGATGGTCAGGCTCTGCATGTTACAGAGGGGGAAACCGGGGCTCCGAGAGAAAGCACCCACCAGGTCACCCATGTGGGGGTGGAGCTGGGATCTGAGCTCTCTGGAGAAGGGCTGGGAAGAGAATTCCCTGCTCTCCTGGGTCCTAGGATGTGCCCACAGGAAGCCAATACTGCAGGCAGAAGAGGCCTGGCCAGGACACGGGGGATGGCTTTAAGTCTAGGCGAGGGTTCAGGCTGGAAGAGACCCCAGAAGGGCAGGAAGCAGGCCCAGCAGGGATTGGGGGACGGACAGGGCTAAGGGGTGAGCCAAGCCAGCTCTGCACAGCCCCAGGGCACCCTGGTTCTGGGGGGCGGGGGGGGGGGTGTCTCAAAGTCTCACCGCATTCCTGGGGCTGGGGGCGGCCTCTTGGATGCCTTCCCGGGCCTCCCCCTCCCCAAGCACAAAGCCTCTTTTCTGCCTCTTGTCCCTCGGCTGCCAAGGGGTGCCTGGGGCGCCGGGCTGGGGGTGGAGGGAGGGCTGATGGGGCGAGACATCCCCATGCTGTCTCCAACGATGCTGGGCTGGGGCCACAAGGGGAAGTCCTGGCAGGGAGGCCTGCGGATTCCTCCAGCCAGGGGTCCCTTCCCCCACCTAAGGCTGGTGATCGCAGGAACCACTCTGCGTCAGGGCCCCGGCTGGTCCTTTGTCCATCCTGACAGCAGGCCTGGGAGCAGGGGACGAGGGGAGCAGAGAGGGGAACGGTGAGGAAGCTGCGAAGGAAAGCGAGAGCCGGGGACGCTGCCTGAGGTCGCACAGGGAGTGGGGGAGAGAGCCAGGGCCGGGACCTCTCACGCCTCACCATGACCCACCGACCTTTCCCAAACCTGCCAGCTGACGATCTCTGCTGGGTCAAAGGGACCCGGGATGTGGGAACTGAGGGCCTGGA